AGTCGATAATCTTATTGAAAAAGAATATCGTCGAGTAGAAAAGTTATTAAATATTAATCGAAAATAGTATCGCAAATAGTATCGAAGCGAAGGAGAGTTAAAAGAAATCGTGTAAAAATTAAATTTAAAGATCATTCGAAAGTCGCTGTTATATATAAATTGAAAAAAAAATTTATTGACAAACTTTGATCAAAATAAGGATTTATTTTTTCAGTTGGTTAAAATAAAGTTATCGATCGACGTTATAATTTTATTCTTTTATCCTGTATCCTGAAATTTTGCACGATTCTAAGAAAAATATTGAAGATTACACGCTCGGGCATTGAAGTAAAATCGATCTTTTAATTAAAAAACGGGAACGAACGAATGGAGAAGAAATTGCACAAGGGATATATAGGATAGTTTCCGTTCTCGAGTCATGAAATTTGAGAGAAATTTTCGAGAGAAACCGCAAATGTGCAGCGAACCTATCGAAAAACGAAGGAAAACGAACGAGATGATCCCGGACGTTTAAACATTTCGACCGGATGGTAAAATCGCGTGGAGCTCCCCGCGTCGATCCTTCCCTTCTTGCTGAAAAACACCCACAGATCCCGCCACCCCCGATAAATTATACGTCGATAAATTAAAGCGTGGACGGATACGCCCGCCGATAAAAATCGAAGATGCAAACCGACCAGGCCGATGGAGGAGTAGCCGGCGAAGGCCGGCGGTAACAGCGATTCATTTTTCATCGACCTAACCGAATTTGTCCAACCATCCAACGGGATCTCCGCGCCAAGGGTGGGATCTAATTTCATGGCCATTACGATGTACACGAGCAACGCAAACCACCTCTCCTCAGCTCCGAACGTGAATCGCTTCGAACGTGAATCATTTGTACGAATTACATCGAACCGATCTTCCCTCTACGATCCGCGCCATCGTTTATTATTATTAGCATCGTTCCTCCTCCATCGTTAATCCATCCTGCGAATCTTCGCGAGGAAAACTTGCGACGCTTTATCCTCTGGATAATAACAGAGCGGGTCGAAAGAAATTCTCCTCTCCTCGAGTGGAGGAGAACCGAGGAAAAGCGAAACGTTCGAAAAACGATCCATAAATTGATCCATCGATACTCGACGATTCTTCGCAAAGCAAAGACATCGGCGCGAAATCGCATCCGATTAAAAGGACGAGGAGGAGAGGAAGCGGAGGGACAGAAGAGAGAGGAGAGGAAGAAGGGGGCGGGCGAGAAATTATTTAACGCGGCCTCTCGCGTCTTCTTCTGATCTTTTCCATGGCTGCCGGATGGAATCCTTTCACCCCGAGAAGAGAGGGAGGAAGAGCATCAAGGGAGGAAGGGGAGAGGAGGGGGGGGGGGAGTGCGCGCATCGTGGTGATGGGGTTCGAGGCGATCCGCGACGATGAAAATTATACGCGTACATAAGAGCAAGGTGAGAGACTGCTACGTTAAAGAAATTAGAGAGATAATTCCTCGGACCCAGGAATACCCAATTTACCCTTTCGTCCGAGTTACCCGAGCATCCTGGCCTTATTATCTAAAGTGCTCGGGCTGCGAGAGGCTGACAACCGACCAACGAACGAACGAACGAACGAACGGGAGGAACGAAAGGGAAAAAAAGAAGGAGGGAGGGAGGGAAAGGGGAGAAAAAGGAACATGCACCCTTGTGACGGGAAGGAGAATGGCGGTGGGTTGCAAGGACAAAAAGTATTAAAAGGACAATTCCTCGCGAACGAGCGTGCAACCGAGTGGGTGAAGGGACTTTTGCCGGCCAACTTTTTCCCTTTTTTCTTTCTTTCTTTTTTTCTTTTCTTTTCTTTTTTTTTTTTCGCCTCCTGTCATTTATTCACGCCGGAGTTATTTTCTTCCGGGTCCTCTCCTTTCGCGAGACGATTCGATCCTCCACCCGTATATATATTTCGCTCTCGAATTACAGGATCACTCCGAACTTTCTTCCTTCTATTTATAATTTTCATTTCGACTCGACTCGAGTTTTTCATTATTATCGATCGAGTAAGAGGAACGAAAGTAACGCCAACTAGGCGCGAATCAGGGAGAACGTTAAGCCGGTAATCGATCGATCTATCGTCTTGCGGATGCACGCGATCCACGAAAGACGCGCTGAATCCAACCGTTTTGCTCTCTCCCTCCCTCCCTCCCTCCTTCTCTCGATTGGGGATCGGGTCTGGATCGAGATCGGTGAAAGAGGATAAGCGGGAGGCCGCATCGCGATTGAAAGAACGGCCTCAATCATCGGCTCTCTCTCGAAAATGCATTTTCCGTCCCTCTGGCCGGCCTTCTCTGTGTGCGCTCCCCCCCCGACCGACGCCGTGGCGGCGGTTTTCGGGTCCGCACATCGGCCAGAGGAGAGAGGGCCGGCAGTCTTTGTCGCCCAGTGTTCCGGGGGGATGAACGAGAACGGGGGGGACACGAATACGCGCGCTCGATCGATGAATCACTCGGCGTGCACCGTTGACGTTGACGCGGAACGGGAGCACGACACGCAAACACACGGGAGGAGCGAAAGGGAAAGAGCGGCCCGCGCCAGAGCGAGAACGAACTGCCTCGTGACGAACGATGCAGCCTAGGGTAGAAGGAGAGGGACGGGGAGGGGGAGTGAGAGAGAGAGAGAGAGAGAGAGAGAGAGAGAGAGAGAGAGA